TACGATCCTCATCATAAGCTTTCACATCCTCATCTAACTCCATTGACAACTGACGACGGCGACGGTTTTTGATTAGTGGTGGGACATCTTCTGCTGTTTGGTGATGGCCACTAGATCCTCCAACAACGTCACAATCATTATGAGATTTGATGGTTAACTTTGGCACTGGCTTAAATGGGAGATTTGACTTCAGCCCCTTAATTAAAACCTTCCTGATTTTAGTTGGTTTCTCTGGTGGGGAAATCGTGCGTTTAGATTGCTTTGAGGTAGTTTCTTTCTGTGTAAATAGATCAATATATACGCTGGACCACCATTTGGCATATGCTCTGGTAACTGAGGATTTTTGGTGGCTAAAGGTTGAAGGAAGCAACGCATCATAACCAGAAGAATAATGAACGGATGACTTCCAATGCTTTAAAAATTCCTCTAAGGTGCAAGTACGAAAGTCATTTTTTAATTTTCCAGGAATATCTTGATGGTACCCAAATTGTCGGCTAAATCTGTGTGAACTATACGGCTCAACGATAAGACGGTCATTTTGGCGCAATGTCAAATAAACATGATCGAAGATTGATTAGGGTGTCAAAGTCAGCCTTTTTCATCTCCCCATTATCTACAATAAGTCGCTCTTTTGAAGATCTTTTAGCCATTCGAGTTAAGTTTATTCCTTTACATGATCTGAATAAATTTTGGGCTTCAAAATGGTCAAAGTATCTTGCTCCTCCTTCGCCTGCATATAATGTCATTCTAGGCCAATAGTTGGTATTAGGAATGGTGAAATTAGTTCTGAAATATTCACTTAACCATCCGAATACATAGTGAATAGGAAATATCGCAGAGCAGCTTCCAGGATCTGGTGAGGAAACAATCTCGTTCAAGCCTCTATAAATACTGGCCAGAACTGGGATGGAAAGACAAATGTTGCAGCCATCTGCTAACATGCTTGCGACCTTGAAAGTCCCAGGACGAATTATGTTGCCAGGGTGTGCAGGTAAGGCAAATTTGCAGAGCCAACAGGCTAAAAAAGCAGCTAGATAAGTGGTGTCTCTCGATGTTTCATCTACACCAAGGTTGATGAATACTTCTTTCTCTTTGGTGGACATCGATCGGACAGGAGGGATCACACCAGACGGATTTTGAGTCCTCATAGGGCGGTGAACTTTATTTTTTGTTGATTTCTTTGAAGGTTTGGCATGTCTTGATGCACCTTTAAACCAGAAATTAATCCAGTCAGATATCTTCACATTCTGATCTCCTTTATACTTCTTGAAAAGTCTGTGGAAGGCCAAAAATAGGTGTTGACAACTCAAAGGGATAGAATTTTTGTTGTTGCCAGCTCTTGATAGTTCATCTGCACAAGGAATAACTTCATCATAAATTGTTCCTTGCTGAGGGAGACCACTTAGCATATATAGATCTCGAAGAGAAATTGATAGCTCGCCAATAGAACAATGAAGTGTATTAGTGGCTGGGCACCAACATTCAAGGAATGCTCTGAATACATCTTCATGATGATCATAGGAAAATAGGGAGGCGAATAAAACACCATATAGTTGTTGTTTTGATAGAAAGTCATGAAAACGCGCCAAGACATCTTCTAACCACTCCCAATATAGTTCGGTGTATAGCAATTCAGCAGTTTATAGGGAATACTCCATGATATTTCCTTCGCCTGAACATTAAGACCCAATAGTGAAAACTGGTTTTCTTCAACAACTCTCTCATGAAGTGAAGAATTTAGTATCAAGGCTTTAGAGACAATAGATTCTTCATTAATCTGATCAGCACCAAAGTCGGTGAGTTCGCATGTGGCCGTGCATGTCCAATGAGATGAACAATGTTTATTGTTAGAATCAGGCACTTGAATAGCTTTGCGACCAAAAAGTGAATCATATACACTTAATGTCGTTCCTTGAACTCGTTGACTATTTTCGCTCTCTAAGATAGTCAGCTTTTGCTTTGCGAAACACTTGAACACCACCATGATGGATACCAAAGCTCGATCGATGTTGTTTAGAAAGAGGATTTCAATTTCTATTATGGCTGACAAAACCAATTTGCTATACCTTCTCAAGTCCTTCAAAAAAAAAAAAATAAATAAAAATAAAAAAGAAGAAGAAGAAGAAGAAGAAGAAGAAGAAAAGGAAAGGAAAAAAAAAATAAAAAAAAAAATAAAAACCGTGCAAAAAAAAGGAGGAAAGAAAAAAAAAAAGGAAAGAAAAGAAAAGGAAAAAAAAAAAAAAAAAGAAAGAAAAAATATAGCGTGAAAAAGAAGAGGAAAAAAAAATCCGTGAAAAAAAAAAGGAGGAAAGAAAAAAAAAGGAAAAAAAAAAAAAAGAAAAAAATAGTGCGAGGAAAAAATTTTGATTCCTCCAAGGCGTGAAAAAAAAAAAAAAAAAAAAATTGTGTTTCTCCAACAAGTGTGGAAAAAATATATATATAAATAATAAATAAATTAATTAATTAATTTCAAATCTCAATCCTCCAGGAAACGTGGAGGAGGGAAAAAAAAAAAGAGAGAAGAAGAAGAAGAACATTCATACCTATGTGTTCAAGCAGATGCCGCAATCCAACACAATCGTCAGAGGCCACAATCTTACAAGTTCTTCAGAACTGATTGAAATTGATGTCAAACCCTATGACTTGGGTGGTATATATAGGCAAGGGATTTGTATAAATTGGAAAGTAAAAATCCAATAAAAAAAAAAAAAGTTAGATACTTCAAGTCCCACTTGAAAAAGGAGACAAGTCCTGTTAAGCGTAGAACTTGAAGTGGGGGCAATTTGTAGAAACTAAAATTTAGTGGGCTTTGGTTTTAACGAATGGACCCATTAAATATAGGCCTAATGTTTAAATAAATTATTTTACCAGGCTTGGTCCACTTAAATTATTTAATTAGCCCAGCCCAGATAATTAAATGAAACGATAATTATTCCTAATAAAATATATTTTGAATAATTATCTTTAGGCCCGGCCCAGTTATAGTTTTTTTTCCTTATCAGGAGATGACACGTGTCATCATCCTATTAATCCAAGAAGCCTATAAATAGAGGCTTGGAGGAAGAAAAAGGGGAAGGATTCAGAATTCAGAAGTCTACAAATTCAGACACAAATTCAGAATTCAGAAGTTCAAAGACTCAGAAATCCAGAGACTCAGAATTCAGACATAAATTCAGAATCGAAACCCAAAAGCGAAGAACATCAAGCACATCCAACAACGTGCCGTTCTTCATCAAATTCCACAGTGATTCAAGAACAAGCTCGTGCAGCCCTTGAATCCAACCAACCAAAAACAAGGAGATCGAATTAGAGGACCATTTTTTTTTTGTAAAAGATATTACAAAGGACTGTACTCCACATTCATAAATTAATAAAATTCTATTTGCTCCATATTTTGTTTCTATTGCAGACTTACAAAATTTGTGTGTACATAGAGTACTAAAGGTGAAAGTAGTAGGTCCAGTGAAGCCAAATACTGGAGACGAGGCCGATGACCCAAATTGAACAGGCAAGGTTTGTGTAGCAGTTGCAACACCAGTTCCAGTAGAAGATGCTTGTGCACCACCCAGCGATCCATTGCCATTGCCAAAAGGAGAACCCAGAGGCTGATTTTTTGCAGTTGAAGTGGCCAGAGCACTGAATCCAATAATGCTACTCCCAGTGCTTGTTAATGTCATTGCACTAGATGCACCAAGGAAGCACGGACACACTAAAATAGGCGAAGAATTCGTGTCTGACACGTGTCGAACACCGACACTTGTCGAACACGCCCCAACACATGTTGGACATGCCAAAAAACGTGTCTAGAATTTTTTATTTTTTTTTTAATTTTCGGACATGACTCAGTTACAGCAAGAACACTCCGCAGACACGCGTCCGACACGTCAAGGGAGTATGTCTGACAAGCGTGTCTTATTTTTGGGGGTCTAAAAGAAAATTTTTTTAAAAAAATTGAGTTAAAGTATAAATATGTGAAATTATTTAACAACTTTTACTCACTTATGTGGCCAGTACATAATAATTTTAAACTTGTAATTAAATGATACTAGTTATTATTCTAATGTTTTGTTTTTTTATTTGGTTTTATAATTCTGCAACATTGTTCTTTTATAATTTATTAGTTATGAGTTATGATTTGTGTATTTTTTTCATGGTGAGGTTGATGAAAAATAGTAACACTCAAGTAATTTTTCAAGTACTATATATATATATATATATATATATACCATTCACCATGTCCTCGCCGTGTTCGTGTCCTAATTTTTTTGGATTTGCCGTATCCAGTCATATCCGTGTCCCATATCGGCGTCCGTGCTTCTTAGGCCACCAGAAGATGCCTGTGCGCCACCCATAGATCCATCGCCATTGCCAAAAAGAGAACCCTGAGACTGATTTTTTGGAGTTGAAGTGGTGGTCGGAGCACTGAATCCAAAAATGCTACTTCCAGTGCTTTTTGCACTAGATGTGGCACCAAAAGGTGAGCTGGTTAGGTTGGCAGTGGCTGTATCCTCTGTATTCGCTTTTAAATTTGTATTTTGCGCACAAGACGTTGATACTGCTGCAATTGATGTTGATGGAGAGCAACAGAGGGACCAAATCTGAAAATGGGTCTGGCAGAAAATGAAGGGGCTGCAGCCGAGCTAGTGAGACTGCTACTGGAGGCAGTTGTGGTGGTGGCGATGCTAGTGGAATTTTGACCTGGGCTGCAAAAGAGAATATTGAAGGGCTTGAAGCAAGCAACCCATAATTTAGACATGAATTATTGGCAGGGGCAACGAAGGAGAAAATGCTGCTTGTTGACGATGAATTCGATAAAGCAGAAGAAAATACTTTATCGGATTTTCCTGTTAAGTCTCCAGCATTCCGAGTATTCTTATCATCAAAATTTTCAGCCTCAGAAGTTCTGAGACAGCATCAGTTGCACCAGAGGCGACAGTGACAAAGCTACACACACATTAAGGAAAATCAGAAAATGCTCTAATTAATTTAAAATTAGACAATTGAAAAAAAAAAAAAAAGTTTGGAGACCATATTTATCTTTTCCCCCTTTTTTCCCCTTATTATGGTTGTATTAAAAATAAATGGCTGGATCTTGTCCACTTCATGCGGAGATATCTCAGGGAACTGAAACAGAAAGTACCATCCAGCAGACCAGAACACAAAATTTTGGAATAGTAAACAAAACCACCAATAATCATCAATCCCCCATATATCACACTTTTACCAAAAATCCCAAAAAAGGTGCTTGCATATGTAACTATGCACATTTGGACAATCATACTTATTTAATCAATGTATGTAGTTGCAGCTTTCAACTGCAATTAGTTTCAACAGGTCTTCATGCAGAGTACCATAGCACAGCAGATCAAGTAATTTCTTCTGTCTTTTGGTTGAAGAGGATATTATATATATTTTTTTGATAAGTAGTTGAAGAGGACATTATGACAAGAAGGATTAAAATAGTAAAAGAAAAAGGAAAGTAAAGAAATGTATAAAAGATTAAATGCCCAAAAAAGATTGTGACTGCTTTCTCAAAATCCCAGTATGCCAAACATCCTACACGGTAGTTTTTTTCTACACACACGAAGGTTAAATATAAGTGTTCATAAACAGTATTCCTTACAGAAAATATAAGTGTTCATAACCATATATTTCAAATCACAAGGTTTGGACACATCCAAAATGCAAGGTCACAGTTTTGACATGTTGTCAAACATTAGTAAGGTATAAAACATCCTACATGGTCTGAGTTTTTTTCTACACATGCAAAGGTTAAATATCACTCTTTTCTGAAAAAAGAGTGTGCACGGTACGTATGCATAAATAGTATTCACTTATAGGAAATATAAGTGTTCAAAACCATACATTTCAATTCAAAAGGTTTGGACACATCCAAAATGCAAGGTCACAATTTTGACATATTGTCAAACACTAGTACGTATTGTGTGAACAGATTGTACTGCAGCACCAATGGCCCAAGACTTGTGGTAACCTCTCCAAAGATTTGTTTGGTTCTACCAAGAACAATTACTAATCTTTTCAATGGATAAATTAACTAAATTAACAAAATGGTAAACTCACTTTAATTGAAGGGGGCCCCCTTCTTCAATGTACAGTGTTTGGAAGGGAGGAACAGAGTATTATTGTATGAGTGGAGTTTTCATCTCACCAATTGAATACTAAATATTTCTTTTTACTACACACACACACACACACAAATGTATACAGGTCAAGAGTGCATTAAAAGGTAACTTATATTCAATTTCGGGAATAAATGCAACTCTCTTCAATTTGTGTGGTTTCCTGCATTTCGGATACTTTTCATCTCACAAATTGAATGCGTGCTACTAAAATATTTGTTTGATGTATATATAGTTTTATACAGGTCAAGAGAGCCTCAAAGGGTAACTTTACTTGTTCTTTGGAATAAATGCAGCTCCTATCAATATGCGGTTTCTGCATTTTAGTTTTTTAATTTTCATTCAAAACAATTTTTCCCCACTGCTCAATATGCATCAGCTTATAACAAATTTGAAGCAAGGAAAGCCAAAATAAATGTTCAAATCATCAGAAATGATATTATGAGGAGAGAGAGAACTGACCCATTCGAGCCCGACAAAGCACTAGATTTGAGGTCTGAAGATTCACTAGCAGGAGACGAAGGAATTTCAAATGGTGGAACTTTATCAACATTTTTAGAACCAAAACTAAACAAGGGAGGTGGAACACCTGCTTCTTTTAATGGAACAATTTTATCAATTCCTGAGGTTGATTGTGGAGTACGCAAAGTTGGCTGGAGAGTCGAGCTGGGAGCAGCTGTAGGGGGAAGGTAAAGATGAAACTTTTCTCACCCACCACAGACCCATTATTAGTCTCCAAACCAATTCTTTGGCCGAATTCAGAACCTGCAGGAGGCTTGACTTCACATGAAGCTGATTTTTTGTCCACTGCTTCAGTTTCAGTACCAACAGCCTTGCTTTCCACCACAGACGCCCTCAGTTTTTCTCTCCCTTTCAGTGGTTTGGAGGTGCCACCATTAGAATGTACATCATAATCCAGCTCCAGAGAATCCTTCATAAAAGAACCATAAAATTAGATTTTGTAGCACATTCACAAGAACATTAAATAGAACAAGGAAAACATATTATAAACAACTAAAACACATCAAATAATAGTCTTCTCTAAATCAAACCAAGAAAAAACAGCCAACAGACTTGGAAGATATTCATATGCTGACTTAACTCCGGTGACAGCATTTTTTTTTATATACAAGTATTTAACTCCAGTGACAGCATTATCAACCCATAATAGTTCATGCCAGCCACATTTCACTTCCTTTTTAGAAACCAGGAAACTTTTTTTCCAGACTACAGCAACTCCAACCTATAGAAAGGACCAACCAAATAGTCAAAAGAACCTCAGGTACATTTATACAAAGTGTAAGGGTGAGAAACAAGGACTACAGAATCATAGAACTGTATCTGAAGTAAAAAAATAAGTACATTAGAATTGATACAAGCCAAGCAGAAGACTGAGGACAGAAAATTGTCCAAGGGGAACTATCAGAGTACATGACCAACAAACCTCATGCGCACTCATCTGAAAAGCCCGTTTCTTTTGTGGAGGTAAAGCGACAAAATTTGCAGTAGCAGGACCTGTATTTTTAAAACTGGGTACAGTATCTTTAACTGAAACTGTAGCATCCACACTATTTACTGCAGGAGTTGACATGTCGGAATGCACAATGCTTTTGGGTCATTTTCTTCAATTTTTTCTTGCTTTTGAGAAGAGTCCCGAACATCAGGTAAAATGGTGTTGTGCGAGAATCCTCCAACTTACGACCATCTTTGGCATTCTGAAGAAACCTTGATGCATCAACATCTTCCGGGCTTCTAAAAGCCTTTCCACTTGGTGTCAACTTAGCGGGTGATTTATCCCTTTCAGCAGCTAGCCTGGCCTCGGATGATTTCTCCTTCAGGCTCAACCTTTCAAGCTGCTGCAATATTTTTGTAGCCATCTCAGTAGATTTAGCAGGAACATGGGTGAAACTTGAACTACAAATGCTGTTATCCCCATATTCTCCTAGCATTGTTGAAAATTTATGATTAGGTTCATCCAATAAAAGCACTTTTTTTGTTGACCATGAAGGACGTTCAGCCGTATCAGAACTGACTCACACTGGACCTCCAGACACTGGTATTCCTAGGAGAGAGAAGATTAATCTTTTGTCGAATTCTGCGTATGGGACCAACAGATCCAATATCATTATCTAAGACAGAACTTCTACGTTTACGTGCCTGCATAACATATATAATTAAAAAAGAATTAATGGTATAATAATGGTGAAATTCAAGGGGAAAAGCTCAACCATCTCCCACACATACCAATTGTTTAGATCCAACGCATCCATCTTGCTCCCATGCATACTGTGACAATGATGATGGTTCACCATAACCATCACTTATTGACTTGACACCCTGGAATTCGAGCAAAATATTATAAATTTCTAATATTGGGCAAGCAATAGAAGGAAATTCCCTAAGCAGATAAAAATGGCCACAGAAATAAACCTTTTGGTTAGCAGTGGAATAAATCCCGGAATACGGTGTCTGTGCCATATTGTATATTGCAGGTCTGCCGTGAGACCTTGGGTGGTAAAACCCATTTTCAGTGACCCCAAGACGTAAAGCAGATTTTGGAGTCAGTGACATGATGGATGATTTTGGAGAAAATTGTGTATTATTTAGCAAAGTTGCATCTTCCCTCGGTGCTTGACTGCGCAAAGCTAACATTGACGTTGTTGCCTTTGAAGGCCTACTTCCCATGTAAGCTTCGGCAAGCTCAGCAGGTGAAGCAACATCCTCTTCACGGACCTGAAGACATTTTAATCTCATAAATGTGAAAAATAGTGCCATTAATAGCAAAAAAATATTTATCATTATTAGAATGCATGCAAAACAGAGGAACTGCTCACTAAATTGTCAATCAAAATTACAAAAAAATTGAGTGTCTCATCTTACTCTTGAACTGACAATAGGAGTAGAAATGCCTCCATGTAATCGACAATTCTCAGTCCCAGATTTTAGCATTGGAGTATTTGCAAATTTGTCCTTCCTCTCAAAAGCAGATGGTGGCTTTGGAAGATTTGCTTCAGTCTTTCTGTTCTCGTTCCCCACAGGTAAATCAACAGATCTTGAATGCAACAATTCTGTCAAACGATCAATATCAGATCTGTACATAACAATTCATATCAGAAATACTGCAGAAGTTCAGACAGACATGCAGACATTGAGACCTTCAATTGATAGAAGCAAACATTAACAGCCATCCAATTCATAAATCTAGTTAAGAGCTTGAGGAAAATGACAAGAAGCCCAAAGGAATACAACAGGTTCAACGGTTAATTAATTGTCAGGGAACAGATTAGCTAGCTATATAAAATAGAAATGTTCGAGGCAGCAATATTACATAATCCTTAATTACCAGAAAAAAAAAAAAAAAAAAAAAAAAAAGAGTACATAACCCTTATCTGCTATTCATGCTTGCAATTTGGTGAGTACAGGGGGGGTCTCCAACTTTGAAAGTAGCAAACTGTAGACTACAAAATATAACTCCCTTCGATTAATTTTCAATTCCAACACTTTCCCTACTCGCTATTTCATAGGTCCCATACCCATTCCAATAGGTTCAGCACAGTTGTATGGGGTAAATAATACTAGGTAGAATTCCATAACTATATGCAGAAGAGATTGCAGCCCACATTGGTGCAGGTATAAACAATAAATGCACAAGTGCATGAACAAGCAGAAACAGTTTGTCTCACAAAATTGGGAAAATATCACAGTATAGATAGCTCATCTAAACCATGAGTTGGAAACTGCAAACATGCCACAAGTGCATGTGCATGTGTGCAATATTATAGCAACAAGTATACAATCAGTTCTTGAGCATGTTAAAAAACCATTAGGAGTCGATTCAAAATTTTACATTATTCAAAAGACTCTGGCGGAACCATCAGTACTTGAAGTAAAATGTTCCAACAAAAAGTCACCTTTTTATGTATATATGTACATATACAGATGGACACAAAAGCACACAGGAATAAGGTATACTGAATATCCAGCAAATAAAGAAGTACCTGGTAAATGTCTTCTGCCTCAACATTTCCTCATGTTCAGAAATTCTGCTACTGTTAGAGATATTACTTAAATTGCCGCCATTGTTTATGGCTGTGATTCTTGAGCCCCAAGAGGATTCTTCACACAAAATTTGTACAAATCAGATATATATAGAACACTAAGTGATAAGTGCTGAAATATGCACATTTCACTACTACATAAACAAAAGGGATTCACAACAATTTTACGTGCACAATTGCACAAATTCGCGTAAAATGAAGATCAAAGATTCAAAATGCCTTAAACGTAAAACAATTCACATTAGCTTATTTACTCCAACAGAGTTTACACACAGCCACTAGAAACAAATATACATTAAAAATATGCATCCATAGGAACCTAAAAACAAAGTATCCCAAATTCATGTCCCTTGGCATTCATTTAAATGTGAGAATGTGGTTTGTACAATGCCATTCTCGAACAATAAGTAGGAGACAAGAGGTTGCAGTGAGGTAACGTTGTTTAACACCAAACTTTTCGTATTTACATAAACAAAAATAAGTGAATATACAAATGCAGAACTGCCATATCCAATTTCCAAAGGCTACAATTAGAGGAAAAGAAAGCTTATAATGCTAATGCTTTACAAAGAAACTCAACAATTTAATGCATCAAACGGATGCCCCACCACTCAGATGACGTTATACACGACACCTTTAAAAATATCAAGTAAAACTTCTCCAAAGAGACTGTCTTGTTGTACTTAAAGAAGATGATGCAGACTGATATCACAAACCATTATGAAGTTAATGGCAATCTGGAACTCAAAATAGTACACAAATTTGAATTACTTACAGTATGTGATGAGAAGAAACTTCCACTCTAGGATGACGAGAAAGGTGTTCCAGGACAATCTAAACAAGTTTGCTCAGTCTGTGGTATGTTTGGCAGTGGCAGGCCATGCCATGTAGGCAATTGCTGCAATAGTTGAGAAAACAGCAGAAGCCGAACCAGACCCAGAATAAAAGGCATCCCAACATTAGGTGAAGATATACCATGCGAACCTGAACAACAAAATTGTTGCGAAGCCAAAGGTGCATGTCCTTGCTGTGGCAGAAACCCGTGTAGCAAATGGATTTGCTCAGAGTGAAATATTATAGATCTTACAAGAAGCAGATAAGGGAGGCTCGTGCACTAGGCTAGCCCCTTATAGAAGAAGCAGATAAGGAATGACGCGGAGGAGGAGAAGAAGGGAGGGGGGAGGGAGAGAGAAATATTTCAAGGCCAAAATAACACAGCTAAACAATATAAATTATTGTAAAAAGGATTAGCAGAAATATATTTTACGATATTATAATCTTGGGCAGGAAAAAGAGACTGAACCAAGTACTAAAACTAATTAAGTTGAACAAAAACTCATGCCAAAGGAAAATATATAATTCTTCAAGTTAATCCAGTCCAAGATTGGTCTGAACTGTCATAATAAATATTTTGACAATATCCTAAATTCAATTTAGTCGACTGAAAACTCAAGCCAAAATTGTTGCGAACCCAAAGTTTCCTGTCCTTGCTGTGCAGAACCACATCTAGCAAATTGATTTGCTCATGGTGATCATATTATAAATTTTAGAAGAAGCAGATAAGGGAGCCTCGTGCACAGGGCTAGCCCTTTTAAGAAGAAGCAGACAAAGAATGACATGTAACTCAAAAAGGAGAGAAGTTTACCTGCATAGGGAACGTTGTAGCATAACTTTGAGTACCCATTGATCCAACTCCAGGACACTTTTACAGGGGAGAGAGAGAGAGATGAAAGGAGGGGGGGGGGGGGGGGGGTTGGTTTGGAGAAATATTTAGAGGCCAAAAAAAACACGGCTAAACAATATAAATTATTGTAAAAAGGATTAGCAAAAAATATGTTACGATATTATAATGTTGGCCAGCGAAAAGAGAGTGAACCAAGTACTAAAACTAATTAAGATGAACCAAAACTCATGCCAAAGGGAAATATTATTTTCTTCAAGTTTATCCAGTCAAAGATTGGCCTGAAGTGTCATACTAAAGATTTTGACAATATCCTAAATACAATTTAGTTGACTGAAAACTCAAGGCAAAATTGTTGAAAACCCAAAGTTGCCTGTCCTTGCTGTGCCATAACCACATGTAGCAAATGGGCTAGACTGATACAGTACATCTTTATTCTAATGCTATTTAATGTTTTACAATTGGGAAGGGAAAAAAAAAAAGGACAAAAAGTCTGAAAATTAACGTTGATTTATCTACTTGTTAAAGCTTGAATATCGATCATCCACTGATCACTTATGATCCAAAGTGGATGTGTTAATTACTTTGGATGTGTTAATTATTAACCACTTATTAACATAGAATAATAATAATAATTAGTAGTTCAAAAGTTATATCTGATTATTTTATGACCTCATCATCATCACTTACTCATTAATATGTAGAAGCAAGCCAAAGCCAGCCTCTTTTAGTACAAGTTGGTTAAGTCCAAATCCTCACCATTTAGAGAACAAAACCTTACAAGAAATAACATTCATTTACAGTGATGACGACCAACTTGCATAAAATGTGATTAGCTGCCTTACAATTTCACTTCACAATACCAATCACTAAATAAGGATTTCTTTGCCAATAGGCATGGCCACAAGATTCAAAATTTCACTATTATGTCATTAAAACCTTGATTACATTAAAAAATAATTCCTATTTTAGTATATGCGAGCAAAAACTTGAAAAAGGAAACATACACAAGAACACACGAGCTAATCACTGCCAGCGCACAATATTTTTCTTTGTTCTCTATATGGGAGTCGGTCAAACAGGTCGGTCTTCATAAAAATTAGTTTTTCTCCTTACAATATTGACTACCACAAGATCATTCTACAATGGAGTCCCAGGAAGTCCAAGAAAGAAAATATGATTAGTTCTACCAGAATCTATAACTTAGAATTTTCATACCTTCCCCCGATGGCTCAGATGCAAATGAACATGATGGGTACGTACCAGTCCTTGTAGATGCTTTCGATGCTTGGAGCTGGTTCCATTCTTAATAACCTCCTGCAGCAACTAATATTCATATCACAAAGTGGTTTTTTTTCCCGGTTGATTGGTGGTGGGGTGGGGACCGTGGGGTTAAGGGACTGGGTAAGGTACTCATACACACATTCACTATTTAGAACTTGAACCCTCAACCTCCCTCCCCCAAAAAGGAAGGTGATACCAAGAAGGTAAAGAAAAACCTTCCGAGCTTTACTTCTAGTTATTATTTTTTCCCCTTCCAAAGTGTTTCAGGTGAAAAGAAACCTTGTACAATAAATTTCTTCAATGAAGAATATAACGAGTTCCATGACTAATATAATTTCTGATTTAAAAAATAAATAAGGGAATTTGGAACATGGACAATTACCAATAAGACCACCTGTACAAAGTAACAAAAGATGATCTCTAATACAATGCAGTAAACAATATTTTCTCATTCTATTTGATCTCTTTAAAAGATAACGGACACTAATCTGATGGATTGAGGAAATCCCTGGTGCCGGAAGTTGACAGTTTAGTATCACAAATGGTGACAGCTGTCATATGTAACCATGTCTAATGAGAAAATAATAAGCATAATGATTCAGATTACTCGATCCCTTTTATACTAATGAAATGCATAATAACAATAATAATAATAAGTGATGCTAGTGCCAAAAACCATTTCACTTCTACCACAGGCAGCAGGGTGAGCTGCTAAAATTGAAAGCACTAACCTGTATAAGTCGTTGAGCATTATCAACTTCTGAAGAGGTGCCTTCCATTTCGACAGTCATCTCGTCAGGAATGCCCTCAGTCTCTGACACAATAAGATTTGCTCCATTAGTATGGTGAATGTAAGCAACATTGGCTCCACCGATCCCAATAACGTCCTCGGCCTCTAGTAATGATACTTGCATTGATTGCATTATCTAAGACAATATAAAAAATAACAATATAAATAATATCTAATCATAATAATAACAAGGGTAAAGTGAGAAAAACATCCCTAATGTTTAAATTTTGGGTAAAATAACACCCCTAACCTTTATTTTGGGTATATAAGTTTGTAGTTTTAAAAAATGGGTAAAGGGCTTAATTCGTATAATATGTGAGAAAATCACATTTAAGTATAATAAGTAATAAATTCTCTAAAATACGCTTTTGGTCTCCCCAAAATGCCCTATTACCCTCTCGATACGAAGTCGTTATTGGTTAAGGCACTTTGGTCATTTTACATTTTACTTTGTTTTTCACCTTCTTTTTTTTTCAAATACATAAGGGCACTTTAGTCTTTTAATCGGTCCACTGACAACAGGCCCTTGTTCTCACCAAAGATTAGGGACTGTTAAGAACGTAGAGGGGGTAATACATTATATGCATACCATAAGGGTAATAACAACAACAATACTAGCATCAAGGAACGGTAACAATTTCGATAACAGGGAAATATAAAAACAAAATGGCAGTAAACATGATCAGCCCTCAAACTATAAGTTTGGTGTGTGTGGAAGAAAATGGACTTGGATCCTCTAAATTATCCTAAGTTGAATTCTCCACCGAATGATGTGGCATTTATGATACATCTGCGGCCTATATTAAACCACTTCAGCTAATTTTTAAATACAATTTAGGAAACTGCACTGTTTTAAGATAAAGCTTTAAGATACCTTAATGACGTTACTTCGCTCTCTCTCTCCTCTTCTCTGAAATAAGATCGCTCCCTCTCTCTTCTAGTTCAGTCCAATCTCAAACATTTTCTGATAGGCTTGGTATGATATGCTTTAGAGCTATTGATTGCAGAATCAATATTTACACACCCTGCATTTACACTTAATTGCATGCCTTTTATTCAACCATTTACACTTCAATTTATTTCTGAATCTGAATGAAAATGCATAAAGTTTTTACCAACCAAATATTTAGTAGTTCTAAATAATAAAGAACGTGTGTTGATATCATGTCAAACTATGCTCAAAACTCAAATTTCACAAAATTCATCGAATCAGAGACTATATACTATTAAATTCAAAACCTACTATTTTGAAACAGACGTAACAGCTGATGTACATGAAGAACCAATCCACTACAGTTATTTTCTCTTTCAAGATTTCACAATTTTGATGTTTTCCTCCACAGATTTTAAAAAGATATCAGAATGAAAACCCTGATCACAACATTAGTGCCTATACAATACTTGCAACTAGATTAGTAACTCCAAGATCACACCAGTAATATTGTGTACTTTAGTGAAGATGTGCATGTTAAGATGAAGAGACTTTGAAAGGGTGAAGTTTCAGAAAACTGCTAATGAACTTGCGATCAGAATGATCCCTTTGTTGCCTGCTATCAATTCATTGAGGGTATCATTTCACCCACAATGTGATTCTCTTGAAATCCTAATAATAACATTATTTAGCTTTTCTCTATCGTTAAATACCATCAATACAAAACAAAATGAACAAGTTTGATCCAAACAAACACTAAGACAAGGCAGACATTGCAGGATGATTAGAGAAATATACAATTTACATTATATGGGCCTTCTTTAAGAGAACCAAACTCTGATTTTCACGGTGCATAGGATTCCTCCATAAGATATAAGAAAAACTAGGAAAATTTGAACACCACAAAAAATTGCATACTTTAGTGAAGATGTGCATGTTAAGACGAAGAGACTTTGAAAGGGTGAAGTTTCAGAAAACTGCTAATGAACTTGCGATCAGAATGATCCCTTTGTTGCCTGCTATCAATTCATTGAGGGTATCATTTCACCCACAATGTGATTCTCTTGAAATCCTAATAATAACATTATTTAGCTTTTCTCTATCGTTAAATACCATCAATACAAAACAAAATGAACAAGTTTGGTCCAAACAAACACTAAGACAAGGCAGACATTGCAGGATGATTAGAGAAATATACAATTTACATTATATGGGCCTTCTTTAAGAGAACCAAACTCTGATTTTCACAGTGCATAGGATTCCTCCATAAAATATAAGAAATCCTAGGAAAATTTGAACCCCACAAAAAATATAGAATGAATCGAACGAAAGTCTGAACAGATTAGAGAATCAATGCAAGAAAACTACATATAAAATAAGAGTTAAGCTTAAGGCAAACACTAAAAGAAGTCTATCTATTAGGGAGCAATGCCGGGAGAAAAAGAAATTCCTGTATCAAAAAAATTTAATATGGTCCATAATTAACACACGTGAATGTTCTAAAGACAACAACGAACAACTAGTCCAGAAGGGTGAAGAATCAAATAATTACTACTATATAAACAAAAGGGATTCACAACAATTTACATGCACAATTGCACAAATTTGCGTAAAATGAAGATCAAAATGCCTTAAATGTAAAAGAATTCACATTAGCTAATTTACTCCAACAGAGTTTACACACAGCCACTAGAAACATATATACATTAAAAATATGTATCCATAGGAACCTAAAAACAAAGTATCCCAAATTCATGCCCCTTGGAATTCATTCAAACATGTGAGAATTTGGTTTGTACAATGCCATCCTCGTTTTGTTGCCCTCAAAGAAAAATTAATTCACTAAAGAAGGAAAAAAGAAGAAAAGAAGGAGACAGATAGTCATTTCTCTGCAAATACAGGAGGAAAGCAAAACAATAAGTAGGAGACAAGAAGTTGCAGTGAGGTAACATTGTTTAACACCAAACTTTTCATATTTACATAAACAAAAATAAGTGAATATACAAATGCAGAACTGTCATTTCCAATTTCCAAAGGCTGTGATGAAAAGAAAGCTTATATTGCTCATGCTTTACAAAGAAACTCAACAATTTAATGCATCAAACAGACGCCAATGCCACTCAGATGATGTTGTACACGACACCTTTAAAAATATCAAGTAAAACTTCTCCAAAGAGACCGTCTTATTGTACTTAAAGGGTAGGGGGCTCACATCCTGAAACATGATCCAAAATATACATCAGCTTTGGTCTAGGTACCCTTACCAAAAGACAAAGGAGGTGAAAAGCGAGGATGAGCTTTGCCAAAGAAAGATACACGTTAGAATCCTCATACCAGTTGCTGGTAACAGCAGAGTTCTTTATGTCACTCACACAACATCAAATTTGCACTAAAATGCCAGACTTGACTTGCAGTTTTTTACGCCTTATTTGAACCCTAATCAGCTCTGACTGACTCTTCAACCCCCATTAAGTGGAAAACAAGGAGCTTAGACTTTGTATTTCTTAAATTAACCACTCAACTGAAATATTTAATAATAGTACCATGCAGCTTCTCTGATATCCTACGCAAATTTAACTCTCTAGAGTAGAATTAACAAATACCATTCAAGCGGCCAGTATCAAGGAAACATAAGGACATTGTACAAACAACAGAGAAGTTCTAAGATGATAAATACTAAAAAGAATTCAATGAAGGGTGAATTCTGACTTACTGGAACTGTTGCAGCAGTAACTGAGGGTTGTTGCCCAGTCACCTGCACAGGTGTAACATTTGTTTGCTGGTCGAAAGAAGATGATGCAGACTGAAATCACAAACCATTATGAAGTTAATGGCAATCTGAAACTCAAAATAGTACACAAATTTGAATTACTTACAGTATGCAATGAGGAGAAACTTCCAGTATAGGATGAGGAGAAAGGTGCTCCAGGACCACCTAAACCAGTCTGCTGGGTCTGTGGTATGTTTGGCTGGCCAAGCCTTGGAGGTCATTGCTGCATTGGTTGAGAAAACGGTAGAGGCTGACCCAAACTAACAGGCATCCCAACATTAGGTAAAGATATACCATGCCAAAAAGAACAAATAGTTGCGAACCCAAAGTTGCATGTCCTTGCTCTGCCAGAATCACCTGTGTAGCAAATGGATTTACTCATAGTGAAAATATTGTAGAACTTATAAGAAGCAGTTAAGGAATGACGGGTGGGGGGTGGGGGCTGGGGTATGGGAGAGAGAAATATTTAGAGGCCAAAATAACAAAGATAAACAATATAAATTATGGTAAAAAGGATTAGCAGAAATATATTTTATGATATTATAATCTTGGGCAGGGAAAAGAGAACGAACCAAGTATTAAAACTAATTAAGTTGAACAAAAACTCATGCCAAAGGGAAATATATAATTCTTCAAGTTAATCCAGTCAAAGATTGGTCTGAAATGCCATAATAAAGATTTTGACAATATCCTAAATTCAATTTAGTCGACTGAAAACTCAAGCCAAAATTGTTGCGAACCAAAAGTTTTTCTTCCCGTGACAGAACCACGTCTAGCAAATTGATTTGCTCATAGTGAACATATTATAGATCTTACAAGCAGCAGAAAAGGGAACCTCATGCACTAGGCTAGCCCTTTTTAGAAGAAGCAGATAAGGAATGACATGTAACTCAGAAAGGAGAGAAGTTTACCAGCATAGGGAACGGTGGAGCAGAACTTTGAGGGCCCATTGATCCAACTCCAGGAGGATTAGGATAACACTGCTAAACAATATAGATTATTGTAAAAAGGATTAGCATAAATATATTTTACGATATTATAATTCTTCAAGTTAATCCAGTCAGATTGGCCAGAACTGTCATTATAAAGATTTTGACAATATCCTAAACTCCATTTAGTTGACTGAAAACTCAAGCCAAAGGAAAACAGCCCAAGTTTCAATACATTGAAAATGACCAAAAATTAATGGAAAATATGTGAGCAGCACAAATCTTCGCTTAAATAAATTTATAATTAAAAAAATAAAAATAAAAAAAATAAGTTCATAAATCTTGGGCAGGGAAAAGAGAATGAACCATGTACTAAAACTAATTAAGTATAACAAAAACTCATGCCAAAGGGAAATATATAATTCTTCAAGTTAATCCAGTCAAAGATTGGCCAGAACTGTCATTATAAAGATTTTGAAAATATCCAAAATTCAATGTAGTCGACTGAAAACTCAAGCCAAAATTGTTGCGAACCAAAAGTTTCCTGTCCTTGATGTGCCAGAACCACGTGTAGCAAATGGATTGGCTCAAAGTGAACATATTATAGATCTTATAAGAAGCAGATAAGGGAGCCTCATGCACTAGGCTAGCCCTTTTTAGAAGAAGCAGATAACCAATGACATGTAACTCAGAAAGGAGAGAAGTTTACCTGCATAGGGAACTGCGGAGCAGAACTTTGAGGGCCCATTGTTCCAACTCAAGGAGGCCTAGGAGGCTTTTACAGAGACAGAGACAAAAGCGGGGCGGGGCCCGGGTGGGGGGGGTGGGGGGGGGGGGGGGGGGGAAGAGATATTTACAGGCCAAAATAACACAGCTAAACAATATAAATTATTGTAAAAAGGATTAGCATGATTTGGCGTCTGAAGGTTTACCGCAATCCACACTTAGCACGGTTGGAATCTGGTCCAATACAATTTTCAAAATTCTCTCACATATTATCCTAGGTTTTTAAATAAAATAAAAATAAAAATTTGAAACTCAACATCAGATGAATACATACACACTTTGGGACTGGGCAGTGGGCACAACCCTTTTCTTTCTTTTTTTCCTATTGGTTTTTTTGTTTATTATTTTTCTTTTGTTTGCATTTATCAATTTCGTTGGCATGAGTCCGAAAATGTAAATCATCGCCATTGTGTGCTACTATTAAAACTTGGAGTTTGATACAATTTGTGCGGTTGAAGATGAAAACCCACCCCAAGTCACGTGAGGTGAGAGAGGATGTCGAATACTTTGCTTAAAATACATAGAATGAAACCTACCTGTCTTTGGCCACATCAGATTCGGTGAAATTTCGGGAATTACTATTCTGGTGTTATATCATTATTCTAAAGATTTTGACAATATCCTAAGTTCAATTTAGTTGACTGAAAACTCAAGCCAAAGTAAAACAATCCATGTTTCAATACATTGAAAATGACCGAAGATTAATGGAAAATATTTGAGCAGCACGAAACTTAGCTTAAACAAATTTATAATTGAAATAAATAAATAAAAGTGAAAAAAAAAGTTCATATACTTTGTATTTAAAACTGTTGGAATTTAGGTGGGATGGTTGAGGTGTTTGGATGATAGATGGAGTAGACTGGATAGTTGTGAACTAGGTCGTAGGAAGAGAGATGGAACACTTTGTACAAGGAAAGATATATTTTTTTTTATTGATTGGAGCACTTGCTCTCCAAGTACAAGGCTTTGGATATTGGAAGACTTGGCTTGCTTGCTTCACTTCAAGGGCAACCCCCTTAGGGTATTTATAGTCCCATTTCCACCTCCTTATTTTTTATAGAACATTCTAGAGTACTCTAAATCTAGCACTTTCTTTTTCACATAATTTCCATATGTTATTTTCTAGAAACATCTAACTAGAATTTTCTCCTATATATTTTTCACATGTAGCTTTCGAGAAACTATCTAGATTTTGCTAGAACTAATTACATAACAACCTTTATGTCTTCTAGAACTTTCTAGAATAGTGCATCATTTTTTAACACTCCTCCTTGATGCACTATTCTGAAAATCCAAGCATGCTGCATAGTACGTGAAACTTTCCACGTGGCAGCGCTTTTGTGAAGATATCTGCCACTTGCTCATTAGTGTTGCAATACTTGAGCACGATCTCCATTTGCTTCGACTTCTCTTAGGAAGTGATACTTGATTGCAATATGTTTTGTTCTACTGTGATATACTGGGTTCTTAGCCATTGATATAGCCAACTGGTTGTCACAATATATCTTTGCAGATTCATCTTGTTGTTCCTCCATATCTTCAAGTATCCTTCGAAGCCATAATGCTTGACATGCTGAGGTGTCTGCTTTCTTCGATCCATCCTCCTGCTTTAGTTTCTCGTTTGTCATCAACGGGGTAGCAACTGACTTACAACCATACATCCTGAACTTCTTTAGTAGATTCTCAGTGTACTTCTTTTGAGATACGAAGATCCCAGACTTTTCTTGGCTTATCTCCATGCCAAGGAAGTAGTGCATTAATCCCAAATCACTCATATCTAATGTACTCATCATGTCTCCCTTGAACTCTTGAATCATCTTTTCGTTATTCCCTGTGAAAATTATATCATCAACATAGAGGGAGACTATGAGAATATCAGTGTTACCTTGGGCCTTGACGTAGAGAGTATGCTCACTCTTGCTCCTCCTGATCTGTGAAGTACATCGATCCTGCTGTACCAAGCTCAAGGAGCTTGCTTAAGCCCGTATAAGGCTTTTTTTAACTTTAGAACTTTTTCTTTTCCTTCTTCGATGAAGCCCAGTGGTTGCTCCACGTAGATCTCTTCATTTAGTACTCCGTTCAGGAATGCTGATTTCACATCAAGCTGATAAATGCTCCACTTCTTCTGAGCTGAGAGAGCGACTAAAGCTCTTATAGTATCTAGTTGAGTAACTGGAGCAAATGTCTCTGTGTAGTTGATCCCAGGTAGCTGTGAGTAGCCTTTAGCTACCAACCTTGCTTTATGCTTTTGTATAGAGCTTTCGAAGTTAAGCTTTGTTTTGTAGATCCATTTAACTCAGATGATCTCTCTGTCTTCAGGTTTATCAACCTACTTCCATGTCTTGTTCTTTTGTATCATCCTTATTTCTTCTTCCATAGCCTTCACCCATACTTCTTGTTTTGATGCAACCTCAAAACTTTCTGGTTCCGTAGCTGAGAAGTTGCATATTTCATATATTTCTTGTATTGACCTTGTCTTCCTTGGAGGGCCGTCTATTATTGATGAAGGTGATAGCATCGCCCCGCGATCTTGAGTTTCAGGAGCTTCTCGTCCTTCCGCTGCTTCTTCCATGGAGTCTTGCCTTGTTAACTGCTCATAAGGTGTAGTAGCGCCTTGCTTTTCTACTTTCTCTGCTTCCCAGTTCCAAGCAGCATTCTCGTCAAACTCAACATCTCGACTGATGATAAGCTTCTTCGTCTTTAGGCTACAAACTCGATAGCCTTTTGATTTTGTGCAATACCTCATGAATATGCCTTTCTCTGTCTTCTCTTCTAGCTTATCTTTTCTCTGCAGGTATATGGACGTAACAAATGCACCAAAAACTCAGAGATAGCTGAGGGTTTCTTACCACACCATGCTTCAATAGGGGTCTTGCCTTGGACAACCTTTGTTGGGCATCTGTTTAGTAGATAGACTGCAGTGTATACTGCTTCAGCCCAAAGCTTCTTCAGGAGTCCTTTTTCCATCAGCATTGAGCTGGCCATCTCCATGACAGTTCGATTCTTCCTTTCTGACACACCGTTTTGCTATGGAGTATACCCAACAGTAAATTGATGCTCTACGCCTTCATCTTCCTAGAACTTGTTAAATTCTCGAGTTATACTCCTTGCCTCTGTCACTTCTAAGTCCCTTGATGTAGTGGCCACTCTGCTTCTCAACAAAATACTTGAATTTTTTTATTTTTTTTATTTTTTATTTTTTATAAGTTAAAATACTTGAATTTTTTGAAAATTCCAATAACTTCAGATCTTTCTTTTAGGAAGTAGACCCATGTCATCCTCGTATAGTCATCAATGAAGAGGATGAAGTACCTGTTTTGATGAAGAGATAGTGTCCTGATTGGTCCACATACATCAGTGTGGACTAGCTCAAGATGTTTCTTGGCTCTCCAAGCCTTTCCTGAAGGGAATGGTTGCCGATGTTGTTTCCCTAGTAGGCAGCCTTTGCATACGTCCTCTCTCTCTTTGATAGTTGGCAAGTCTCTCATCATATTTTTCTGACGCAAGATGCTAAGTCCAAGGAAGTTGAAGTGGCCAAATCTCCAGTGCCATAGCAATGAGTCATCAACTTGAGCTTTCATAGTTGTCTCGTTTGAGAAGTGCTATTGAATCGGAAAATTCTGATTTCGCTCCTTTTTTGCTCAAGTAATTTCTTGATATTTTTTTTTTTTTGAATCATACATAGTGCAGGAATCTCCTCCAAAGTGCAGGGAATATCCATTATGCATCATTTGACCTGCACTTGGAACATCTTTAATATATCTCGTACCTTTATTCGTCTCGATTGCAATAGTTCCTTTGCCTTTAGTCTCCACCAGTGCACCGTTGCCCATTCTAACTTTTGATTTGACAGATGCATCGATGTTGCAGAAGATGCTCTCGTCCTTGGTCATGTGATTGCTGCAACTACTGTTGATGTACCATGTATCATTTCGCTCTTCAGAATCAGCTTGGCAGGCATAGAATAGATGTTCCTCCTCCTTCTCTGAGAAGTTGGCTTGATGATCGTTCTTGTAGGGACAGACTTTCTCTGCATGCCCGAACTTCTTACAATTTTGACATTGTGGCTTTCCACGATGCCAACAGTCTTTCTCCAGATGACTTTGTCTTCTTACATATGCCGCATGGAGAATTACTCTTTCTTTCTTTTTCTTTTGAATATCCTCCATTTCGAGATTTTTCTCCTCCTTTGGAATTCTCTCTTGATTTTTTACCATCCCCAAATTTTTGAGTTCTCACGTGACTGAAAGGCACTCTCCAATGAGCCTTCATTACGCCTACTCAGTCGAGACTCATGTGCTTGTAGAGAGACCGTTAACACTGGGACTGACAGAGTTGATATATCTTTAGATTCTTCAATAGCCACAACTATTGAATCGTATTTATCGGTAAGACTTATCAATATTTTCTCTACAACTCTTTTATCTGGAATATTCTCACCAAAGGCTCTCATCTGATTACTATCTCCATGATTCTGGAGAAGTAATCTTTTGAGGACTCATTATCCTTCATCTTACTATTCTCTAATTCTCTTTGTAGAGATTGAAGTTTAATAGTCCTTACCTTAGCATTCCCTTGAAACTCCTCCTTAAGGGTGTTCCAAGCCTCTTTAGCACTTGTAGCTCCAATTATCCTTGGAAAAATAGTATCGGTCACAGCTAGCTGGATGATGAAGAGAGCCCTTGCATCCTTTTGCTTATTTTCTTTTAGAGCTTTGGTGAGGGTGGCTCCTTCGTCAGGAACTTCATGCCCTTCTTCAACAATCTCCCATAGATCATGAGATTGAAAGAGGGTCCTCATCTTGATGGACCAGTAATCATAGTTATCTCCACCAAAGATTGGAATGGAAGGTTGAAAATTGATCCAATGGTAGCCATGACTAAGGTGATGTAGCCCTACGCCCAAAGAAGATCGGCCTAGAGCTCTGATACCACTTGTTGGAATTTAGGTGGGATGGTTTAGGTGTTTGGATAATGGATGGCGTTGATTAGATAGTTGTGAACTAGGTACTAGGAAGAGAGATGGAATACTTTGTAGAAGGAAAGATAATTTTTTTTATTGATTGGAGCACTTGCTCTCCAAGTACAAGGCTTTGGATATTGGAAGACTAGGCTTGCATGCTTCACTTCAAGGAAAACCCCCTTGGGGTAGTTATAGTCCCATTTCCACCACCTTATTTTCTCCAGAACATTCTAGAGTACTCTAAATCCAGCACTTTCTTTTTCACATAATTTCCATATGTTAATTTTTAGAAACATCTATCTAGAATTTTCTCCTATATATTTTTCACATGTTACTTTCCAGAAAGTTATATCTAGATTTTGCTAGAACTAATTATATAACAACCTTTATGTCTTCTAAACAAAAAACAACGCTGTAATAAAACACAACCAATTTTTGGTTAACTCAAAGTAGAGATGTTCTTGTGCCCAGGTCTACCATTTGAACTCTTAAATATAATGTGTTTTGCTCACAGATTTTTAGTTCACTAGGAGTTTCTCCTTTTAGATGGATCCCTCGCATACATTTTAAGCTAGATGAGAGTACAGTTTCCTATCCTATTTCATGAACATCCAGTATACACAGCTGAACAACTGCACCTCCTATTTCACTTATCATAAGAGAGAGAGAGCACTAATTAAGATTGTTCAGCAACAAGTTACTGAAGACCAATGAGTACCACCTAGTGCCAAACAGTAGCATAAGGTCAAGGGGCAAACAAAATAGTGTTCGAGGCAAAAAAAAGACATGGTTACGTGTAGCTTATTTGAATTTATAATAATCTTAGGGAAAAAAATATATATTTGAGAACAAGAACACAAGATCTATAGAGCAGACCCCGAATAGAGTGGACAAGATTTTGTTGAATAGAGTTGGGTAGAGAATTGAGATGCATTGACATATCTTAGCATTCACTTAACATGCATAATCTCAATATCAACCTCATATTATCACCAACCAATCTTGCAGTATTTCCTTTCTTGAAAGAAAGAATTATTTGCGTTTTTTTAACAATCTGTTTCTTTTTGTGCTAAGGTTTTCAAAACTTAACACACGAGACCAACTTGTTCTCATGCATCCCAACCAAATAAGACAAACCCTAGTCCTAAATACAGGTTCACCCAACAAGATTAAAATTACTAACGCAATACATTTTTCCAAAAGTGTTAAGCCAGTAAATTAGGACCATGGCCAATCCAATCCTCTAAAATAACAAGTATCATCAATTTCTAAGTTGCAATATGTGTTTATTTTTCTCCCGATAAGTACGATTCCATTTAAAAACTCTCAAGAGGGGAGTGCATCCCAAATACTACTGCACAAAAAAGAACCTGCTATATTTTCAGAGAATTGACAATATCCTTAAATTTTTCTATAGATTTACAATACCACCCATGAACCCAAAATAATAAATAATTCAGACTTAAGAATTAAGAACCCAAGAGGGAACATCCTCTCCAACAAACCACCTCCTATTGCCCTCCAACCGCGAACCCCACCACAAATAGAGGGGTAACTCTCCATGCATCAAGGGCTGGCCTCCGCACTATACAACCCTTCCAAGTCTCAATAAGACTTCTCGTGGAATCTGGCATAACCCAATTAATGCCAATCAAAGCAAATAGAAGCTCCCACTAATCCCTAGCCATGGGACAGTGCAAAAGAAGGTGGTTCACAGTCTCCTTACCCCCTTTGCACATGAAACACTAATTCACTAAAATTTGCTGCCGCCACCTCAAATTATCAATTGTCAATATCCTTCCAAGGGCAACTATCCCACCCAGTGTTGTTAACGGCGCGCCTCCTACGCTCGAGGCGCGGGTCTAGCGCATGTTGTCATCCTAGGCACACTGATGTTTACTAGACGCACCTTGGTGGCGCCTCGTCCTATTTGTCAAGCGCCCCTCACTGTTTTTTTTTTTAATGATTATTATATTTCTTAAGCCAAAAATGATACTTTTGGCAAACATAATAACCAAATAAAAAAGCCCAAGCCTTTGAAAGAAGAACTTTTGTTTAAAAGAATAAACAAATAAGAAAGCCCAAGAGTCAAAATATCAGCCGAACATAGAAAGAGTAAGACTGTGAGACCAACGACGAAGCCCTAGTTGCAAATACCAACGACGAAGCCATGTCACTTCACTAAAGCGCGCGGTGCGCGCATCGCCGTGCGCCTCGCGCCTAGGCTCCAAAGGACCTCTAGCACCTTGGTGCACCTTCAGCCTTTAATAACACTAATCTCACCAAAAGAGACACCCTTGGAGGGGCTTTGGTCCTCCAAAGTACCTCCAAAGGGAAAGAAAACTCCTGAATATCCAACTGACTCCTATATAAGGAACGCAAATCTGCATTAATGATCACAACCCATATCTGCTCATCCTCCCCCTTCCACACAAGTCTTGGTGGTAGAGGACCGCCAATAACTCAACAACCTCCTTTAAGTCCCAAACATTAAAGTGTTTCACCATCTGCATATCCCAAGTCACTCCACATCTTGATGGTGGAGGACCACCAAAAACTCATCAACCTCCTCCAACTCCCAATCATTAAAGTGTGTCACCATCTGCACATCCCAAGTCGTTCTAGCACTATCCATAATTATCAGCGACGGAAACTTAAGAATCCACTACAAATCCTGAACATTCTTGAGAAGGAACATGCTACCACGCAAAAGGAGCATGCTACCACGCCACGCATCAGTCAAGAATCTCACAACTCACCCGCTCCTAAGCCTGAAATGAATATGTTTGGATAACTTATTCCACCCCTTCCGAAGAAATTTTAAAACCCCCACCCCAGCTGGAATCCTCACCTCCCCAAACCTCCACCCTCTCCAATATTATTTTTTTGGTCATTATGTTGGCTACACATGCTGTCGTACACCCAACTCAACCCTACAATGGTTACTGACTGACCACAATTTCAATTATGTGAAATAGGCAACATTACGGGGAAACCCAAGACACCAAATCAACATATAGCTAAATTTGCATCAAATTCAACCGGCAATAAAGAATAGCTCAGATTCTGAAAAGCATAAACCCCTACGTCAGATTAGGGGTTGGGTTCAGCATTTCAAGAATCAGAATTGCCTATCTCGCGCACATTTTTTGAGCCCGTATACGAAAAATGAGTAAATCAATTCGGTTCCATTCTGACGTAGATATGCAAGAAGAATTCAATTGTTAGTTACCAATATCCAAATACCCATGCATATATACACATATATTAGCTATAAGGAATAGGAAGAAGGGTTACCTGAACAAAGACTAAGCCGATGAGCGAGGAACAAGACGATACCACCGTGCAAACAATATAAACCCTAGATAACGATTTGTATCCAACTCTGCTATATCGGAAACATGGGTAATATTACACATGCATGAGAGACACACGTGAACAAATGAACTGACTTGGGCCCAGCCCATACTAAGGAGTGCTAAGACGGGCCTTAATTTATAGGGTTAATTACAACGATACCCCATGAGGTTTGCCATATTGATAAACATATATAAGTTAGGCCTGTTTTGAATAATGAAACCCCTGAAATCCTATTAAGTTGACAAAATATCCCCTGACACCATATAACACACCATATAACACGCCTGACATATGAAAAATTGACCAATTTGCCCTTTGACTTGTTTGTGGACCTTTATTACTTTACAATGGAATTAAATGGACCAAATTACCCTCATTACCATTTGATGGGAAAAAAAATTGTATAACTACCAAAAACAGCTAGTTTGGTGTCAAAAAATCCCATATTGATAGGCATAACTACCATATGCAATTTGTGGTAGTTATGCAATTTTTGGTAATGCCAAAAATTCTAGCCATATTGATAGGGTTAATTACAATGGTACTTGCTATATAGTATATACAATGGAACTTGCTATATATAACCAACATTTAACATTAATGGTACCTAACTTGCAATATATATATAACTAGTGAAACAGAGGAGAAATAATACAGAAAATGCTAAGTGGAAGCTTTGTGTCATTTTAAGTTCGAAACTTTGCACCAAATAAATAAATAAATAATAAAAAAAAATTTATAATGGAACTGAAGTTTTGCACCAAAAAAAAAAAAAAAATTGAACTCCATTGTAGCTTTGCAACAATTAAAAAAAATTGTCCTTTGTATCATTGTAGGCAACAAGCTTTGCACCAATTAACACTCAAATGGCAGAGAAATCAAAGAGTTAGTGGGAGAGACAAAGGTGAAATAAAGGGGAGGGGGGGGGGGGGGGTGGGTCATAACTGGCACCAAATGGGGGGGGGGGGGGGGGTGGGTCATAACTGGCACCAAATGGCGCCATTTTGTGTGGGTTCTATTAACTGAGGGTATATTAGACATTTTGTCATGCATGATATTTTGGGATAAAAGTGATTTAAATATTTAGGGGCAATATCGTCTTTTTGAAACCAATAAGGCCTTGTTTGGATTACAAAACTGATAGGGGGTCTCATTGTTAAAAAAAATGCTAACTTATATATGCCTGTCAATACGATAAACCTCACGGGATATCGTTGTAATTAACCCTAATTTATAATTACACCTTAAGTATTTTAAGTTTTAAATATTTTATTAAGGCCAATTTTACCTCAAAATTACCTAAAATAATTTTGAATGTTAAATCACAAATTTTGATCGAATTTCTTTCGTGTTATAAGGATTTTTGTTTTTAGTTTAGTCCAATGTCTCAAGAGTGGTTCACTTGGGTTTATAATGAACGGTCATGCAACCCTTCCCACCATTGTTATAATGTAAAACTACTATAAATAAAAATGGAATAATTTGGACATGATTCTATCATCTTTTTCATAATTCATTTACTTTATATTATTTTATTTTATTTCATCTCATTGCCAATGCAGATGCCTCGATAGCTCAATGGTTAGTACCTCCGGTGGGTTTTTGAAGTGTTAGGTTTCGACTCTTTGCACCTACTCTTCTTGCAACAATCTTATTACCAATTTTATCTACACACAATTTTATATTTGTGCTTTATTTATCTCTCAACAGTGTAGATTTATATGAAAAAATTTTACATGTGATAGTTGGACGAGAAAGTGTGTTAGGTTTTGATCATCTTTTATACAAACAAACTGGATTCCATCGAGGCAACATAATTGTTCAATTATTATAATTATTTCCTACGTACCATCTTTACACACATTTTATGTTTTGATTTTGGTATTTTTATGATCTAACATTAATATCCATATTCAAATTGATATATTACATTTTGGTGAAATACATAATTTTATATATGTGTTTATATTATATTATATTATATATATATGTGTGTGTGTAGCATCTTGTATAACGATATTATGTGTATAAGATAATTAAGGGCAAAAATGCAATAAGAATAACATTCAGATTTCAGCTCACAATCTTAATAAATTCAGCACTAAAAAAATAAGACAATATTAAACAGATTTTCAAATTAATACATTCAGCACTTATAATTTAGTACTTAAAATTTTTAGTGCCAGTTTTATCAAACAACACTGTAGTTAGTAAATTTATGTATGATACGAGTACGTACTTGAAAAAAAATTCCCATTTGTTATTTAGAGTTAAAAGATACGGTAAAATATGTATTTTTTTCCATCACTCATACGCGTTTATTCGTTTTAGTTGTCGTTTAATTTGTGTTTATACTTTAGGATAACCTAATTGTTTTTTTCTTATCGTCTTTTGTTTTCATACCATCAAAATAATACTCTTTGCTTTGTAATATGGGAAAAGGTTGCGACCACTCAGCTATTCTACATTCAATGTATCGCTTTATTTTTCTTTTTTAATCTCTTATTGTTGTCACTTCAATGCATGATCTTTAATAAAAGTAATGAAACATATATATACACACACACACACACACACATACACCCACACTATAATTTTGAATAATCATAGATTTTTATTAATGTTTGTAAATATTTATAAATTTTTTGTTTTGTTTTGGGTCTTTTAATTTTTGTTAGTATCTTTATTATTATTATTTTTGAAAGTTTGTAGATCACCACACTAACTAAATGTTTTAGTAGAATATAAAGATATTTTCACAAGTATCACACTATATATTTATACATTTATTATAAATATATAGACTATCAAGGAAAGATTAAAAAAAGAGAGAGATGCATTTTGAATCACATATTTTTGGGGTAAAATGTCTGATATTGAAATTTGTTCAAAAGTACCCTAGGAGGTTCAAGGCTCAAGCAACTGCATTTTTAGTAATCACTAGTCCGAACAAAAAAGTTAATACTATAGTTATCCACCATGCCATAAATAATTAAGAAGATGGATAGGAGTGAGGTAGATAAAAAAACTTGCCAACCACATTATTTTGATCATGTTATGGACCTATGGTTTTTGATTAATAATACTTAGATAGTTATTAATTAATTATATTTAGATAGTTTATTTCTTTTATGATTATTGTGATAGTGTCAATTGAAATATATTTATTTTATAATTTGTTACATATTTTTTATTGTTCTTACAAATATATGATATATAAGAAAATAATAAGATATGTATTGTCGAATTTTTTGTCCTGAATTTTAGTGCATATTATCAGTATTTGTATTTTTACATTTTTTTTAATGAATTTTTAAAACATATTTTAAAAATATATATATCAAATTATAGTTGTACGTTTCCGTACTCGTATTTTACTAACTACATGGACCATTCTTAATATCCCTTTTTTTCAACACTTCTATTTGTAACGTGTTTTAGGTTACTATGTGTGTACTTGTTAATTTAATATGTATATTTTATAATATCTCTTTTATTTTTTATTTTTTGACAATGATTAGTACTTAGTTAGAAAAAGGAGAACCAAACCTAAAATTAATAAGGTGGAGAATACTTTAGATCCGACTTATTTATCACTCAGACAATACCGTCGTACTTTAGTATTTCTTTTATTAAGTTTAGCATTTTTATTTAGTCCAGACTGAAAATTTTTGCATACAGTCAACAATAATAATTATATTTAGGCTCGCGTGCGCTTTGCACCCCAATGATATCGATATAGTGCGTATAACCCCCCATTGTTTGCTCACCTCCCTTATACTTTATAAATGGTGCGGATTAGTGTCTTTTGGGTGTTGACCTCTATTGACTGGTACCAGAGCTACAAAAAGACTAAAATAGCCCTCTATCTATGATTTAAATATAATAATAAAATAAAAAAAATGGGAAAAGTCTAAAATAGTCCTCTATCAATACTCTATCTCTATTCTCATTCTCAACTCTGAATTTGCCCCCCTCTCTCTCTGCAACTGCAAACTATAAAATCTACAAGAATCAGAAGTTCAAAACCCATATATTTTAGTTTATCTATTTGTCTACAGGAATCAAAAGGTTCAAAACCTATTACCTATATCAAAACCCATTTCGGCATATCATTTCAGATTGTTCAAAAAATTAAAACCCATCTCTTTCAGTTTCCATCACCTGCTATTCCAGTGTGGGTTTACCGTTCGCAAGCTTCAGTCGCTGTCTCTCAGTGTGATCAATGATTCAGATTCGATAAATCTCGCAATGTTTGATTGATTGTTTTTTGCTTATTCTGTTATCACTTTCTTTGATGAAACTGGAAACCTTTCAAAGGATACCTTCCATTGATCACCTATTGGTGGGAGTCTCTAGCCCCTTCGTCTTTAGACTTTTCTCCGGCAATAATGAATCCAATGAGACATAGCAGAAAACCCAGCTATACGCGAAGGTGAGAAATGAACTATGCAAGGGTCTCCTTGTATACACTCACTACTATAGAGATGCTTTGACAAGGAACTAGCCCGAAGCTCATGTAGAGGCACCAACGGTAGGATCCGTCATCTTGGAAGGAATTCCTTTAAAATTGGGAAGTCACAATCACAATTTTGGGCAAATTGGTACCAATAAAATTATTGGGGCAAAAATTGAAACTTTTTAGAAGATTGTCTGAGATTTGATCGCCTAAAGGTACAATGGTCTCCGATAAGAACTGTTTGGTGGCAGTAGGAATGATGTGAGGCACTAACTTGATCAAATCGTGAGAGAGCAACCCTGTGAGATCGAATTAGATTGCTCTCTGCAACCTATTCTATTCGACGTTGATATCTGTGTGACCATTATTAGGTTAACAGTAGTGAATTTGCTGGTGAGATGAGGGAGGGAGAGACAGATTAGGGTTATATATATATATATATATATGGTGAGGGGGTAGTAAAGGAATATAAAAAGGGCAATTTTGGGAATAAAGGGTTTTAAATGGTCATGTGCATGGCACATGACCAATTGACGTTCAATTCTCATCGGAATTCTTAACGGCGGTACTTAATTGCACATTTTTATATCT